CGCATTGCTTTCACTGTTGATCACCTTAGGAAACCTAATTTTTTAAAATACTCACCTGCCCTCTTAATTTCTTAGCGGATAACTGCAATAGCATCCAAAGAGTAGCATCATCGTTAGCATCAATATCGCAGTATTGCGTTGACTGTCGAATGGGTGTGACTAAATAATTGAGAAAGTCGTAATAGAAAGAATGAAAAAATTTGTTGTTCTTGTAAAATTTTATCACAGTGAGGTTTGGAGAAAAAAGCAAGCATTTAAAAGAATTTTTAACTTGGTTTTCCTTCAAAGGCTCGTATTTTTTTTTGTTTTTACATTATTGGCAAAAGCAATTCACCTAATATTGTCTTTTGGGTTTAAGAGACGAACGAACTGACCAAACTCATCGTAGACTTGATTTCTCTTAGCCAATAACACACTGTTTCTTAAAAATTCCTCAGCTCTCCTGATCTGTCTTCGCTGATTTCTTCTTTGCATTACGGCATCATGGAATGTATGATATGGAAGATCCGTCGTCGGAACGACAGTAGGTCTGTAGATATTGTCTGATTCATGCGCAGGGATCATTTCATCCAATGAGCATTCAGAGGTGCTAGAGCTTGCATCACTTTGAGTAGAATCTTCCTCAAGCTCTGCTTCGGTATTATTTTGAGACTTTTGGCTGAAACCGAAATTTTGCTCAATTATTCTCTCATTCTTTTCTTCTCCAAGTTCTAATCCGAACCTGACCGCATTCATCTGATTGCTACAAGCTTATGGAGTGTCATTTACCTATTATCGAAGGCTTCTTCAGATTTGGTCTGAGGTTCTTGAATTTCATCATTCTCACAGACAAAGGAGGGTGTTTCTGTTGGTGTGATTGGGAGCTGTAATGTAGTGCATATAGTATCAAATTGAGAAATATCCAGTTTTATTAAGAGCAATAGATGTTTTTGCACAATGTTAGATGGCAGTTAAAGGTATTTTAAACTGATAAAATCCTCATGAGGAAACCATCTAGAGTCTCCGTACTGATTTTTTAGTAGGGAGGAAGAGATGACTGTAGTTGCAGAGCATCCGTCATTTTTTTTTATCTTCACGTTTTTCCGCTTACGCGGGGTCTGCTGTGCAAGTCAGCTGTCTTCAGTATTCTCGATTTAAGGCATGATGTTAGTCTATCCTAAGCTCTTTCAAGTCAACTCTGATTCTGTCCATCCACCTCATCTTTGATCTTCCCCGTGGTCTTTTTCCAGCGAACTCCAGAGACATGGCCATTCTTGTGATGTGGTTCTCATCTCTTCTTCTCACATGCCCGTACGATCGCAGTCGTTTTTCCTGCACTTAACGATGGGAGCAACTTTCATCCTTACACGAACTGTGTCATTACAGACATGATCTAGCAGGGTGATACCC